TTGATGTCACTCGAATATTCTTTTTCCTTTATAAATATTCCTTTATTTGGATCTATTAATTCAATATCTGATTCTTCTATTTCGTTTTTGATGTCATCCTCTATGTAGACTTGGTATTTTTTTTCTCTCTTTTATAGTTTAAAAATCGGGTCTCTTTGAGAAATATGAACAAATTTTTTGATTTTCTGAATAGATAAAGAACTCAATCAATTCAAAATACCTATTCTATGAAAAATAACATTACTTTCTCCGTAATTGAATGTATTTTTTCCGAATTTGAAGTTACGGTTTCCTAAATAAAAGTTACTTTTTCCGAAATTGAGGTTGAAATGGTGTAGAATGAGAAACTACCTCATGTGAGACCTCCTTTGAAAGGTTTTTTTATTCCTCTTTGGAGACATGCGGAAACAAATAGAATTACAATAAACACATTATTTGGTCGATCTGTATCGGAGACTTTTATGGCAGATTTTTTTTGTTTAGAGATAGTCAAAATTACTTCAACTTGTATTTTAGAATAGTCATTTATATTTAAGAAATCCCCCATATGAATAATGGAATACATTTCCTAAATCGGGAGTACACGCGTGTCGGTCAAAAAGACCGACCATGGATAATATCAGTAATTACGCCACTGGTACAAAGGTGGCAGTTTTGTCCATCGAGGAATGCCTGATGCAGGTTTTCCACTACCCATTGGCTCAAAAATATTTTGGTTTTTGGTTGAAGACAAGTTCGTTGTTTTCATAGTCTGTGCTTTTGAGTAGGCGCGTCAACCTGAGTATCTAAAATATGTGTGCTCAAAATTGGCATTTTCTGATATTAAGAGTACTTTTGCCTGTCGATAGTACGGTAACTATACTGCATAATATAATTCCCTTTGTAATGATTATGAATTCTAGGAATTACAGTGCTTGTACACTTTTTTCGCGGAAACGATCCCAAACGTATCCTGAACGCTAAGGCATGACTTATGCAGGTTATATTTGAAAGTTTCATGTCTCGATTGATTAGTAAACCTGCGCAGGTCATGCCTTAGCGTTCAGGATACGTTTGGGATCATCTCCGTGAGAAAAGCTAATAGTTCATATAAAATTTTGGGCAGTCGGTCGATTTGACCGAACGCGTGTAATGACGTAAGTTTTTTGGCGCGTGTAATGCCGAGTAAAATAAAAATGACTTTTCTAAAATACAATTGAAGCTTTCTAAAATACTGTTGGAAATAGTGTATTTTTCAAAAATTTTCGTACAATTTAAGATTTTGCTATAAGACGGTAAAAGGAAAGCAACGAGCTATCGAACGATGTGCAACACAAGGCAGGTTTGTTTAAAAAAAAAATAATAAGTTAGGGTAGCTACCCCCTAAGGGGTGAGGCTCAAAAAGTGCCTCATTTTGATTCCCCCTCCAATCCCCCAATACGTATTTGAGATCTTCCTGATAGTATTTTTTGTCTAAGAGATATTGCCGATTGCTTCTTTTCAAATTGTCACCCTGCATACCTAAGTATCTTCGAATTGGTGATTTTTTAGATACATAGAAAGAATGTTTTAAGTTTTTTGATATAAATATTTATTTATGATGATTATTTAGACTGAAGTGTGCTTTTTTACGCATAAAAATTTATTCAATTGAATTTGACCCCCCCCCTACATATTTTCTGCGGGCGCCTCTGGGTGAACAGAAACCTTCAACTCTAGGCTACATGACACCAATTACTTCGCCAATTACAGAATATTCCACTATTCAAGAAATCCTGAAACAATCGCAAAAGACAACAAAAAAAATTGGACAGTCTTAAAAATTTGTTACATTAGATTTGGCGGCTGCCATCAAAGCTTATGCCGTGCAATGGCATACCAAGAAATTTCCAGACGTAATCGTTAACGTTGGCACTTTTTATACCACCTGCTCTTATTTTGGCCGCTTAGGTAAATTATTAATGAGTGGCTCTGGCTTTGAAGATGTTTTAATTGAATCAGGAATATGTGCAAGTGGTTCTATTGCAAAAGTAATGTCGGGAAAACATTATAACAGGGCTATGGGAGTCCATAAGATATGATGGAAGCACTACAGAAATTACTTACTGATATGTACATGACCATGAATGAATCCTGAAAAAATTCTGGATGCTGAAGAGCTTAAAGCAATTGAAAACTTGGCAGAAAACCCGTCACATTTTAATTTGACATCTTTGAATAACAACACATCTTGTCAAACATTCTACAAGCACTACCAAACTTTCTTGATCGAAGTTAGGGAAGGGAAACTGGGTAAAACAGCACAATTTTGGATCAGTTACATGGACAAAGTGTTATTTATTCTAAGGTTCCAGCGAGAGACTAAAGAAAACAACTTTGACTTACACTTGGCATGTTTGGAAGATATGATTCCCCTTTTTCTTGCACATGTGACCATCATAATTATACCAGGTATCTTGTAATCCATACGATCACTCTTTTCAATCTGCAAAGAACACCAACCTGGAGTTGAAGACTTACTTCGGAAAAATGGTTTCAGTGTCTGTAGATCCCGGATTACAATAGAACAGACAATTAATCGATACGATACGTAGAGTTGACATTTGAAAAAGCAGGGATGTTACACACATTAGATTCCTCTCATCATGATATGCATACAGGAGAAATGAAATGAAGTGAGCAATGTGTCTTAATGGTAATTGAAGCTATCGCGCAATATATCAATCCATTTGAAGTTAACGATAAGAATAGCCTGTTTTGTCTATCATGTGGAAGACCTGTACCTGAACCGGTGGAAAAAAATTAACTCAATGTAGATTACCCGGGAAAAGCTGCCTATAAGACTTTCGTACAAGATAGGTTTATTCTCAAAAATACAAAATTTCATGAACCACTGAAAAGACAAAAGCTTCAAACTTTTAATAGCATCCAAGAAAAGATAACTGTTACGTCTCCGCAAAATAGATTAGTTGAGATGAGAGTAGAAAGAAATATTTTTGGTCGAGCTCTGCTCCTGTCCCAGGAAAATAAAATGAACCTAGAGATGCTGTTATCCTATCCAGTAGGACCATGGGCATTAGCCACTGTAGATGGATCTTCTACAAAAACAGACAAGGCCAAATACTCCAGGCTTTGGAGATCAAGGGTGCGGTGAATGACCCTCCTAACATTAAGGCATGCATTTATATGATTCATGACATGGCTTACTTTCAGGCTGTCATTAATATTCCAGAAACCTTTGGTGATCTAGCCGAGATAATATTGAGCCGCTTTCTAAAAAGCATAAGGATAAATTTCGTGACAGATACTTATTTAGAAGTATCTATTAAAATCGAAAGACTGAGAAGGGGTTGTGGAGTTACATTCCTAGTGAAAGGTCCCAAGACCAAGATTCCCCGTGATTGGAAAAAATTCCTCAGTAATGGCAAAAACAAGGAACAACTTGTCAACTTTCTACATAATGAATGGAAACATGACAAATATGCCCATTATTTTCATGGTAAAAACGTTTACTTATCACACAATGACCAGTGCACGTTGTTTACTAGCTAAGATGGTTCAAGTGTAAATTATACTGTACAAGAAGTATGCTCTTCACAAGAGGAAGCAGACACTAAAATTATTCTACATTGCTTCCATGCTTCTCAATCTCGTCAAGATAAATTGCCTATCAGAATTAGGTCAGCAGACACAATCGTTTTTATTTTGCTGTTAAGGTACACCAACGAAATTAAAAATGTGTTACTGTTTGATACAGGAGTTGGAAGTGAACGAAGGGTCCTCAATGTCACCAATATTCCTGAGGATTCAGGTGCAGCAAAGGGCCATGCTATGTTGAATATGCATGCCTTATCCGGAAGTGACACTAACAGTTCTTTTCTTTGTCGTGGAAAATTATAATTGGAATTTAAATAAGAGAAATGTTTCAAGTTCGTACCCATCCTTAGGTCATTAGGAACATCACTTACAATTACAGATTGTTAGTGATAGACCTAGAGGAATTCGTCTGTTACTTGTACAGTGATAAAGGGTACACAGATATAAATAAGCTCCGGTATGATTTTTTCACACAAAAATACTCTCCTACAGTGACCTCTGCATTGCCAAATACACAAGGTGCTGAACTGAGTCTACTACCTCGTTGCAAAGCTTCACTTGGAAACCACATTAGTCGTGTAAACTACCAGTGCTACATATGGAATAATGTCGCTAAACCCATCATAACATCAAGTCTAGTGGGACTTGGCTGGACATTGGAAAATGACCAGCTGAAGCTGGATTGGATTAAAGGGGATTCGTTGCCGCTTGAACTAACCGATGTTATGGAAAGCTATCATCCAGATGAGTTTGAAGATGGAGATGGCCAGAGCTAATTAACCTGACAGATATACTACATGAGGACGATGAAGATGAAGAAGAAGCCAAAAACCCATAGATTACAGATTCAGCTTTTTGGAAGTTCCTGATTAGTTTGTTTCCATTTATGCTTACATAGTTAAAGTTTTGTGTTAAGTTTCAGATTTACAAATAAAGAAAATATTGAAAATGGAATTAATAATTTCCAGCTATTTTTCCGATAAACAAACCATGAAAAACTAAGGGAAGAATTCTTTTACAATATATAGTTTATAAACACCCCTTCTCCACCGAAAAGTTTAATTGAAATGTGAATAAATTTTTAAAAATCCATTTTGCCGTATTGTCCCATTTTTCCGGGTTATGCTGTAATTGGCATGAGGCAAACAACTAAAACCTTGAACTACACCTACACACTACCAACAAAAAAATATGTGACTCACAAATTCCCACGGGGGGTGATGGTTTCATGTGGCTCATGGTCTATAAAGAAAGATATGTCAAAACAAAATATCCAGCAAATTTTTGAAAAAAAAAAAACAAAATCAATAATAGTGCCCCCTTAAAAGTTAATATAAACACAATATACACAAAAGAGCTTAGCATGGGCTGCTATTTTTGAGTCAAGTTTAAACCCTGTTAACCGTTTTGAAAAAAGTTTCACTTCAACTTGGCCTACTACTATGCCCGCTGCTACTATTCAAACTTTGCAAATATTTTTCATATTGTAACAAGGGCCCTTGATTTCGGTTCAACCAACTCTGCCTGTTTTGCATTTCGAAGTGTTTCAACAGCATCGCTTGCTGAAACGCTGCCAGTTGATTACTGGCAATTATCGAAGGATTCAAGTTAAAACTGGCCGAAATCTGCGCGAGATTTTGGATATTGTATTTTTCCACAATGTCACTTGGAGTCAAGTTGTAGCCGTTCGGTTGTGATGCCGATGCACTGGGACTTGGTGAAGTGGATGGCGTCGTTGGTGAAGGTTTTGGTGATAGTTTTGGCAACTTTGCTGTGTTCTTAGGTCGAGTTACTGGTGTTTGATTAAACATGGTCGGTGCGTACATGTGCTTAATCAATGGTGATGATTTTGGTGAATGTTTAGTTGATGGAGCAGGTCTAGGAGTTGATGGAGCAGGTCTAGGAGTTGATGGAGCAGGTCTAGGAGACCTACTGCTACTACTTACTTCTGGCAGCTTTGGAGAACCTAGACTTGGTGATGGCACTTTGAAATCGTTTTTAACTGCTTTTAATTCGTTTAAAGGAGATACTGGAGGTTTATATTCCGGCACTACTGGCGCCGATTCTGCTTTTCCCGGCGACACGATTCCGTTAGATTTCATCACTTTTGTTGGACTTTGTTGTCCCACTGACACTGTATAGTTCATACCGAGACTAGTTGAGTGTAGACTTGCTACAGTCTGAGGCACCATTTTGGAAGAAAACGGAGCACCTAACAGATTTGATAAACGCGGTATTGGCACTTTTGGGGTTGTAGAATCTTTACTTTCTTCCTCACTTTTCGTTTCCTTCGACAACTTTGAAGCAATAATGTCCACACTATTTTTTTTATTACTACTACTAGTTGAAGGAGTACTAGTTAAATCAGTTGCTGATGGTACTTCGACAGCCGCAGTTTTTGGATTATCAGGAGGTTTCTTCAAAGACTCTTCGAAAATTTTCTGGAATGTTTGTGGTGATCTTGGATTGAGTTTTGCCAAGTTTTCAATTGCAGGAATTGCCAAAGCTTTATTGAGCTCAGGTACTGGCGATGGCTGAATTGATACCTTCGAGGGAATGTTGGTTTTCATGGGTATTTGAAACTGTGGTTTGGGACCAACAATTTGCGACACTGTTGTAGACATTGGAATTTTTTCGGTAAGGCTTTTAGCTATTTCCGATAAGTCCTCGTCCACTTTCTGTTCGCTGTCATTATCACAGAATTTACTTAAGTCGAACTTTGTTTTAATTTCAGATGATGACTTTTCTGAAGCGTCCTCTGGAAGCTTTAGAATTTCAATGAAATTTTTCACAGGTGGTACTATTGTCGGTGAAGAATCACCCTGAGAACCCTCTTTGATTGTTATAGATAATGAGGAAGGTATTTTGCAATTGCTTATCAACGATCGTAAACCGGAATCGCTTTTGAGGGTTTTACTTCGTTGCGAAGATGTTGGTTTTTCTTGTAACATAGTTTTTCTTATCATCATTTTAGGAACTTTCGCTTTTTCGTTTTTGATGGGACTGGAGCTTTTTCTCTTGTGACCACCTGCTGGACGCATTGGTTCAACAAATTCTTTTTTAGGTGTTGATGGGGATTCAGAAAATTCTTTCTTGACAGATAGCTTGGTTTCTTTTCTGAAAGCAACTTTTGGCAATAGATTGAAATATCGTAGAAACTGACTTTTTTCGTCTTTCAACCAATTTTTTACTTCTGATGATGGAGCTTTGTTAGTATGCTCTTCTATTTTTATTTCCTTCTTTGGCGAAGCTTTCTTTCTAACAGTCTTTTTTGCTATCGTCGCTCTAGGACTATTTATTTTTTTGGGGCCTTTTTTAATAGTTTGCTTAATAATATGTTGGCCTGTGGAAAAACCATCCGCACAAGAAACTGGTTCAATTTTTGTAATAATTTCTACATTTTCGCTGCGATTTATAGTAATGCTTGTGAAACTTTTGGTGATAGGCGTTGAATAAACTGGCATTGAAGGGATGACGCCATCTAACAGTTTCTTGGATACTTTGACTATTAATTTATCGACGTCCTTTTTGTTGGTTGTTGGTGATACTGGTTCAGTTTTGATAATTGGTGATTTAAGTTCGGATTTTATTGTTGTTGAAAAACTGTCTGGAATAGGAACTTTGGTTTTCAATTCTTTATCTACTCTTTCACTAATAACTTTGTCAGTCTCTTTATCTTCTCCATTAATTCCAATAATGATTTGTTCATTTTTAGATTTGCATTTTCTATCCAGACTAGATTCGCTTGCATCATCCATTTTAACTCTTGCGTTTTCTTCATCACTTCCGCGTAACCTTTCTTCTAGCTCTTCTTCTGTTTTAGTCTTAATATCTTTGTAAGTTTCTCTCTTGATCCCTGGTTGACTAGAAAGCTTACCAGAAGCTCTACCACAAGATTTTCTAGGAGTTTTCTTATTATTCGTGTTAGACTGTCTTTTTATACGCTCCCCTCTACTTCTACGGAAATGTCGAGGTATGAATTGGGGTTGAGGACTATCGGAACCATCCGTTTTTTTGGCTTTATTGCGGTCGATGATTCGGAAGAAGAATTTCATGAGTTCGTTCTGAAACAATAGAAATATGATGTCGTTAGAAAATTAAAATAAAAACGAATACTTTTGTATTAATACATCCTATACTGTTTATAAGATAAATTGGTTTTTTCATATCTTGTTAGGACCTAAACCAATACCTATTAAAAAACCAGATTTGCAATTTTCAAAGTGACGTGCGAGCGGCCGTGTACCCAAAAAACCATGAAATTTTCGGAGTTTTTTCAGTTTTTGCTCAATATCTCAGTGAAGGAAGGGTCTGACCGGTATAGCTTCCATCTAGGATCAGACTGGTAACTGTAGGCACAGCGGTTCCCTCAAAAACAACAGATAACCAAAAACAGTCATAAGTGGGGTTTGGGGTAATGAAAAATTGTTCTCACGTCTTTTCTACCCGTCCTGGCGTATTTCGTGTGGCGTGAGGACTTCAACACCAGGTCATCTTGTGATCATCAAAGAACGAGGAGTTCGAATACTAATTGAAGTGAGTCAAAAACGTGGTCTCACAGAAAATAAAAATTTCCTCCAAAATTGCAACCAAGTCAGCGTTCATGATGCATGCAGGAAGAGATTTACAGCTGTGTGTAATGCTGAAGCCTCGGGCTTGGGCTACTAACTGCGTTAATATTACAGGAAAGGTATAGTCGATAGCGTCAAAAAAAAAGGTATATGTAGGCGTTAAAAGGTCGTGACTCCCCATGTGCAAACCTTTGATGACCTTGACTTGATTGGCATCTTTCTCTTTCTTGGGTCTGGGTGTATAGAATGCGATTCGCACCAATCTGTCCCTCCACAAGTGTTTTGTGCGCTACGAAGACGACTTTGGCTCATTCTGGATGGTGGATGACGCCGAGTTTGTGAAACGTCGACACCTGTCTTGTGGCAGACCACGGAAATGTACCCAACCTCGTCACCCACTCCATCCCACTGCGCACAGTAAGCACCAGTTCAACTGTCACGTGACAATGTCGTGCATGTGCTGCTGTCTGCTCGGCTCGCTCTGCTTTTATATTTTGACTATCTGACCAGAAATTTTGTATATAATTTTCCATTTTTCCCAGGGAATATTGACGAACAGAGGTTTTAATGGTCATTATTGCTCAAAAGTATACCCCGGAAGGAAATTAGACCCAAAAAAAGGCCATCTGCGGAATGAGGCCGAACAAGCTGAATTTTTGCAGAGACCTTCATTTTGATGTCCTAATGAAGTACAAAAAAATCGAATATGCCTACTGCGTCTTGAGATATTGAAGGTCAAAGGTCATGAAAATCTCGCTTCCAGTGCATCTGACGTCGAAAAACCCAAAACAAAACTTACGTAAAATAGTATTTTCTACAAAATTGTTCCCATACATTTTTTTGTACGACCAACCGTTTTCGAAATAAAGTGTGATAAAGCGGGAGCGCGCATTCAAAACAGGTGATACCGTATTATACAGGGTGTCCCCGTTCAACTGGTCAAAAATGCTAGAGTATATAGAGGAACCATAGAGAAGTAATTTGAGATAAGACATCGATGGTCGGAAGTGCGTCGTTTCCAAAATACAGGGAGTTGAAATTTAAACAACCCCCTTTCATATGATCTGGAGGGCTAATGCTAGGCTGTTCAAATTTTCAGGGATTATTGATGTAGGAATGATATTCAAAAATTCGTATAATGCACCCCCATTTTCTACCCGGAACCACCCCAAAAAAATAAAATTTGAAACAAATTGCTTTTTTTTTTCAAATTATATTTTTTATTTTTTTTTTGGGGATGGTTCCAGGTAGAAAATGGGGGTGAATTATACGAATTTTTAAATATAATTTTTACATCAATAATCCCTAGAAATTTGAACAGCCCAGCATCAGCCCTTTAGATGATATGAAAGGGAATTGTTTAAATTTCAACACCCTGTATTTTGGAAACGACGCACTTCCGACCATCGGTGCCCTACCTCAAATTACTCCTCTATGGTTTCTCTATATACCCTAGCATTTTTGACCAGTTGAACCCTGTATAATACAGTATCACCTATTTTGAATGCACGTTCCCACTTTATCCCGCTATATTTTGAAAACGGTTGGTCGTACAAAAAAATGTATATGAACAATTTTGGGTTCTTCGACGTCAGATGCACTGGAAGCTTGTTTGGCCTCATTCCGCAGAGGAAGTCTAATTTCCCTGGGGTATCAGTTTCAAACGTGTAGTGCTTGTGGATTTGTATTAAGATGGATGAAATTTGTTCATTAAAAATCTCACATAAATTAATTTTTCGTAAAAAGAGTATACTACTCGCAATCATGGCTATTATTTTCTCGGAATTTTACTTCCTCGAAGAGGGGATTCTGTACACAAGATCTGTGACAAGATCATCAAGTAAACTGGCTCTCAGCTTGAGAGGGATTTGCTTTTTATGTGGTGATGCTATCACTGAATAATTTCTCCAGGAACAAAGCAAACTGCCCTTGGAAAGAAGAAATATGGTCCCAGACAGTTGAGAAGTTGGGCATGAGGCAAACTGTTTTAGATGCAGCTAAACGCCGAGGTGACGATTGGGGAGCGCCTCCTCATCATTGATGACCTGGTTTCTTCAGATGGGACGTACCATAGATTGTGCTATAGGAGCCTGTTTAGATTACCACCTGCTACTGGGAATAAGAGAGGGTATCGTCCAGCCAGTAATACTGAAGAAGCGATGGAGTGTGTGTACGATTACTTATTGGAAAATAGTGATGAATGCCAGTTTTCTTTATCACACCTTCTGCAGCAAATTAACGGTTATTATATCCCTGATGTCAGAAAAGCGAAAAATCACCTCCGAAAACGATTTGGCGATGACATAGTTATAGTGGAGATGGGCTCAAACAAAAGTAAACTGGTCTGCTTCAAAAACACGGGCCATACATTTTGTTATGATCATTGATTGGTACAAGGACCAGAAAGGCAAGAGCGGTTGAGAGTTGTGAAGGCAGCAGCAGAAATCATCGTGGAAGATATCCGCACACAAGTGTATGACACCAGTCAGTATCCTCCCTCGGACGATTTCTTCAACAATTTTGATTCTGTTATCCCTGAGTCAGTGAAGCTATTCTTTGTTGTTCTCAAAAAAAAGCGTGGCCGCCTTGAAGCATGGAAGAAGAAGTGTGTGTCATTTTCTCATGCTCTGATAGCTGCAGTACAACCTTGATCTTTTGTTTCCTCCCTGCCGATTGAAATTGGTACCTACTTTTACCAAAAATATGGATCTAAACATCTGGTAAATATATGCGCTGCGCTGGGGTTTTCCTGTTCCTATTCAGCAGCTGTGCAGCTTGGAACTTCGGCAATCTTACGAAATGAATCCTCACCGTCAATAGAAAAGCTTTTATCCAATTTGTCTATGACAACGCAGACGTGAACGTTAACACACTGGATGGTGATAACACGTTTCATGAGATGGGAGGCATTATGTGCGTGTCTCCCTCGAGTGCAGTAATGCGAGACAAAATTATCCCACGTGTACAGTATTATATTTCTGCTCAAAATGTGACCTCCAGTAGTGAAGTACAAATCAAAGAGTGCATTTAAAAAAAAAACAGTGGATTGGCAGCAATCATGGAACATATTATGAAATTGATGGTGAAATTTTGTCCTCGGCTCCTGACCTAATATGGTTGTATGGGAAGTCGTTCCCAAACAGTCGATGTCAGGCTGGAATTGATTTATGGAGCAAGCCAAAGACGGGCTTCAGTTTTCACGCTCAAAAATCCTTTTTCTTCCATTTATCCATGCCCCTCCCACTGACTAAAATACGGTGTTCACTTCACTCATGGAAGCCAGCAACCGGAGCAAAGCTCATGGCCAGAAAATCACGTTCGTCACTTTCGACCAGCAATTATTCATAAAAGCAAGAGATATTGTTGAAAGTGGACGTCACCCGGCGGAGTTGAAAAGTGTAGTTGTACAGCATAGTGGATTTCATCTCTTACTGTCCTTTATGGGATGCATTGGCACAATAATGGGCGGGAGTGCTCTGAAAGAGATACTAACCACTATCTACGCAGGCCACAGTGTTGACAAAATTTTGAATGGGTACGCATATTAATGAGCTGTTCGAGCCTACATTTTGACAAACCTCACACTGGCCGGCATTGTTTTTGATGAGGTTGATATGACTCCTGAAGAGCGAGACGAGACTGAAGAATTGCTGAGAAACACTGAGAGGTCTCTCATTATGTCAGCAGAAGAGATTGATACCTACCAAATACTATAAGGGCAAAATTTAAAAGTGCCTTGGAGAAAATTGAAGCAAATGGCCCAGCATCAGAGTTGTGGGTCCAATACTTTCGTATGACCACTTTGATCAAACTATTCATACAAGCAGAGCGTGCTGGTAATTGGAACTTCCATTTTTACACTGTCCACAAGATGCTTCCTTTTTTCCACCTAGCTGAACATTTTTTGTACGCTAAGAGCGCGCACCTTTACCTTCAGGATATGATGGCTCTACAAGATCGGATGGACAAAAGTAAATACGAAAGGATACTTCACCATTCGCCGGTTTGACAAGTTTTGGCCTGAAATGTGGTCAGACCTGACAACTGAATAGACGCTGATGCGATTCATGAAGACCTACGGTGGGTTGATCCAAGGAAAGGGAATCTCTAACAGTGTGCTGGCAAGGAAGACAACAGGAATGATCTTTATGGGAACATATGTGAAGAACTTGAAAGTTTTTGCAGCATTTCATGTCCTACTGCATGTCGACATGAGACCTTCTCGAATCATCCGAGATAACAGTGATGTGAAAAAAATCAAAGACTGGTTTGCTCTTCGCCCTCCATTTCTCAAAACAGTTTGCTTTCTATCAGTAGTGGTTTACTAGCAGGTCCTGAGATTAATTGCCACACGGCCCAGAAAGTTGGAACGAAGGGAGTGATGGAAATTGTAGGTCAAATGTACGATAATGTAGTATTAAAACGGAAAAACAAAGCTACAACGCTGGCATCGATCATCTCATCCGTTAAATTGCCGGACAAAAACAGAAGAG